CCAGAAGATTCTACATGCAATTTCCTTATAGGAAATGATTTTGTCATATATTATTCATCTTTTTTTTATTTTTTTAACTCTTAATTTATAATTTACTCATTAAATCCTCGCAAATTAGCTATTTTAAGTTTCATTTGTTCAAGGTATAATTATAATTTTTGTAAATCCAGAGGAATTAATTTATAATTTACTCATCAAATCAGCTCTTTTGAGTTTCATTATTTGTTTAAGGTATAATTTATTTTATTTATTTATTATTACCACGAATCAAAGGCTACCAAGTTATGGAATCACGAAGAACTGGGGAATTCAATTGAATTCTGGGCACGCAAATTGGTTCCACTACCGAGTTTTTTAAAAGCTCTTTATTTCTCTTATAAGCCATGTATGATATTTTTGGATCATTTTTTTTATGACAGGCATTTTTGGAACATTACAGCACCCAAAACTCTGAAATGTTTAAGAATGATTGCTTTTAATGTTTCTCAATGTCCAAATTGGAAGAATTTCTGTCAAGATTAATGTACGTAATCCTTTTTTTCCATTGTTATCTTTGTGTACTGCATATAAGTTATTACAGAAACCAATCTCGACCTTTTATTAACTCGAAAGGATATACACATCTGTTTGTGTGGATATGATTCTGCCTATCTATAGAGCTTATATTTCATGGCAATGCAATGTATTATTTCTATACTTGTATGTTTTGCTTATCTTGTAACAGGAAAAAGTACGGAAAAACTTTCTGATAAATAAAAACATAGCTCAGCAGGTAGAGCAAAGTACTGAAAATCCTCGTGTTACCAATTCAAATCTGGTTCCAAGCATATGATGAATTTGTTTAGAAATATCTCTTCTATAACTTAATTAAATTAATTGATATAGATAGTATAGATCGACATATATGTTAATAATATAGTTAATAATATAGATCATGATACATACTTATCTAGGTGTCTGAAAATATAGTCTTTTTAGATTTTCAGATGAGTAATTAAAGCATTAAAAAAAAAGTATATTAATATAAATAAAAAATATAGTCTTTTTAGATTTTTAGATGAGTAATTAAAGCATTAAAAAAAAGTATATTAATATAAATAAAAAGTATTAAGGGTATGTAAAAGAAAAAAGAATTCAATTATCTTTTATCTTTTCTCTCTTTTTTTTTATTTGTCCATAATGCAAGTCATCTCGGTCAAAAAATAAATACTTCTCTAGACTAGACTTTTCTTTTAAGTATTTTACATAATTAATTTACCCTTTTAAAAAAACTCTACGTTTATTAAAGGTGAAGTTTCTAAAAAAAAATTCCTTATATCGTGTATCCTCGATTGATACAGCCTCAATGTTTCAATTGTCGATTTAGCATTGATCAAAAAGATTATTCTTATGACTATTGATTATGTATTGCAGGTTAATCCTGCTTCACTAGTACAACTAGGCGACATAAAGGAAGAAGCACTACGCTTAGTAATCAACAACACAAAAATTTTGCTATAAATTTCCCCCTTTCCTTATTGGGATCGAGACTAAGAAGAATGATTAGAACAACAAATATCCATCTCATTTGTGCTTTGGATACCCAATTCACAGTATCTAATAAGTTTTTCTATTTGCCCTAATTTTATTGATTTTTGATCTTTTCCATTCCATTCTGTTTCTCTTTCTCTATTTTATTTTTTAACTTAAAAATTTTTCATTGGAGTTGTATTAGATAGAATTCAATTCCATTTATGATTCTATTCAATTTGCAAAATAAAAAAAATAAGATGTATAAACAAAACTTATGTTTCTACAAAAGTTTTTCTTTTGATTATTCAGGAGCACCACCAATTGGTTATAGTTACGAAATCACATTGATAGCCTTGGTTGTTAAAAAAATATAAATCAATAGAAGGAAAAAAGGTTAAGGCTACAAGGAAACGAGGCCATTGCATAGAGCTAGAAAATTTTGACAAGACAAATGCAACATTGTAGCAATTGGTATAGAGCAGTTCTAGCCACACAAGAAGAATTAAGATGATATAATCCATTGCCCATTTTAACAGCTTAAACTGACAATACTCAACGCGTGAACAATTTCAGCTCTATAGATAGGTACATACATACAGATACATTAGAGATTTATCTTGTTAATTTGATGTTACAACTATCTAGAGCTGATTTCGTGAAACCATTGAAATGCAAAACAGTCTATACAAATGATGCACGATGGCTCTATTCTGCAGTGTCAGTCCGGCCAAAAAGATGTTGAACAAGCTGTGAGAATTGGATCCGACTTTGAATTGCTGCTTTTGCATTCATTGGTTCCTCTAAGACTTGAACAGCACGCTCGTACCTAGTGCCATCATGAGTTCAAGTTCTCTCAGGAATACTCGAAGCTTACATAGTTGTTAATTTCAGGATCCGTAGAATTAGTCAAAGTGCTCGTAAACTGACCCAGACATCCATGTTAAAAAAAAATTAGTCTCACTAATTCCGGTAGAAAGTTGTAAGATCCATGTCTTTGTCCACAAACCCAAGCTTAAATTGTTCAGTTCAAACCCAACCCAACTAACCCGTGTATATAAAAAAAATGTGACTAGACAATTGATTTTTTCTTTTCTTCTCCTTGCCTCCCCCATCGTGACTTTCCTCTCCTAATTACAATTTCAGTTTTAAATTTAAGTTTATGATTGAAGAAAAGTTGAAAAAACAAGAAAGCATTTCCCTTTACTATTTTTTTTTATTAAGAGAGTGATCGTGGAAGGATTAAGGTAGAGTTTAAGGTTTTTAGTTTGATTTGACGATGAAACAATTTAAGAGTTTAAATTGGTATTTTAGTGTGTTGGATGGCCAAGAAAAAACTAAGGCTTTTAAGAGCAAATTGTATGTTTTATGGAATCTGTAGATTTGAAAACTAGCAAATCAACCGACCGACCTATTAACTGGTTTCTACTGGTTGGCTAATTGGTTTAAACTAGCCAACCATTTGGCTTGTGCTACTAGTCAACCAGTTGATCCAGCAGTAAGAGTTACTTGAGCCAGATAGGTTTGATCAGTTTGGATTATGTTTAAAATCAATAAAGTGAATCAGCTTAGTTTTATAATTATATTTTGGTTTTTAAGCTTAGAGTTTTAATCTTTCATGTTACTTTGCTTCAAGTTGTTTTTTAGTATTTTTTGTATAACGATCTTTAATAGTCTCTGGTTCTAAACGCATTTGTTTTTTGCTTTTTTTTTCAAATGAATGAGATAATCTTTAATATGCAAGTAATATAAATATTTTATGTATGTAAATTAGATGATGAGTGCAATTGATAATTTATTATGTGTGTGTGTGTGTGAATTTATTTTTTGAGTGCTTATCCATTCTTAAAATTGCATTTATATTTTGTTAAATTAAAATATATTTGATATGACATTGGTTTGTTTTAATATTATGTGAGTACCAGTTATGTCTTTATATCGATATGCTTGTTAGAAACTTCATACTAATTGAGAGTAGATAATTTTTATGCATATTATATTTATATACCTAGCTCGTGAGAGAGGCATCAGCATATAATGACCGATCCTCCCACAATGGTCACTTTGGGGTATCACTTGGTCACTTTTGAGTGTCATCTTATCTTTAACATGTATTCTGCTATTTTATATTAATATGCTTAGTATGTATATTTATATTAAGATATATATAACTTGCAAATTATTAATATTTAAAATATATATTAAATGTTATTCAATTAGTGAGTTAGTTTGAACTCACCTTTTATTTTAATATTATTTTATATTCTTAATTTTTTTTTAAAAGTTGATTTTTGACGACATAAATTAGATTCTGCTGTAACTAAAAAGTTGATTTTTGATTGAGAGTTCATGCTACTTTGTTTGTTGGCATGCTTTACTTACTTCCACAAAACTTTCCTTTTAATTTTTGATTTAATGTTTTAGATGCTTCATTATTATATTGAATTAATTAAGTTCGGATTTTTATAATGTAATAAGTATTATAGATATTTGTATTTTTATTTTTTTTGATGATATGAAGTTTTGATGTATCATTTGATTTTATTGCTGTGAAGAATATTATATTTTAAAAGATTATGAAATCACAAAATTTTTATATAATTTGTTTTATAATATGTGTATTAAAGTTTAATACAAATGAGATATTTTTACGAAACTACTCCTAAATAACCGATTACGAGTCATGGGTCCGGGTCTTAGAAAAGCCATGCGTTTGGACTTGTCTTCCGGAGCAATGTTTGGACTTGTCTTCCGCAGCAATGGCTCTGGCCCTATATCATGATACAAAGCACAGGCAGATAATGATTTCTTTGAGCTCTGAAAGGCAGATGGAGTGTTGACGGAAACCATACAAGTAGAAGGATCTGTCATTCCACATTAAACATGTTCCTGGTTAAAAATCCCAGGATGGGAAAAGGACAAGTCTCAGCAAAACAAGCGGAATAGGGGGAAAAAACGCAGTTTTGCAATATGAAAAGGGCTTGCCACGCCTGTACAAAAGCATGTGAAACCCGATATGATTGGCCCCTAAAGAATAGTTGGCCACCTGACTGTAAAATCCAATTCCATGGATGTTCAGTTCAAACCTTAAACAACTTGAAAAAATCAATGGCAGTGCCAAACTACTAGATTCTTCAGATTAACATTAATCACTGCAATTGGAGGTGCTATAACCCAAAACTTTAGGGATCCACTATCCAAGGAACCTAGACAGAAGAGGCAGTTCCTACAGACTAGTCCAGGCAAATGAGTCAGAATTTTGAGCACAAAGAGAAACTTCTAGCTTAGAAATACCATCTGAAAATGACACTTTATGATGATGACGTTTGTAATGACTTTGGCCAATAAAAACACAGGGATTCAAATGCACATTTTAATTGGATTTTAGCTTAGTTGTTTTCACAATAACTAGATGCAATTCTTTTGTTGCTGGCTTCTGATTTAGAAAGGATAGACCATACATAATTGGAAATATTTAACAGATATCGATGTAATGCACAAGCAAGTTAACCATCAGCCATTAATGATAAGAAACAGAATCTCAAAGAACATGGCATCAATAAAAGAAGCGAAAGCAACCCTTACATTGCTTCGGGTCGCTGCATCTTAGAAATTAGGATTCTTTCCAGTGAACACAAACGTGAATACAATGAAGCAACCTCACAGGCTGCATGTTTGAGAATAAAAGGCAACAAGAAGGAAATCCTGAAAGAACAGAAAAAATCTGATATGGTGAATGAAGCATGGCATCAATAGCAGATACACTTTTTTGATAGAAGACGGTTAAATTGAATTCTATCAAAAGGACATGGCTTGGCCATCAAGGAGATGACACAAGCCTGAACCTGAGAAGACATACAAAGTTAATTACATGAGTAAATGACGACATAAATTAGATTCTGCTGTAACAATACATGTAAGTAGATTATGCTAGAGCTATTTTCTCTGGCTTTCTTATTTGGAGGTGGAACTGATGTTGGGGAGGCTTTGAGAGGAATGATCTGTTTTCAGATTTACAGCCAAGCAATCAGTTCCATGGAACAACGCACACCTTGTTTCGCCAATAAGCTTGATGGCTCATTGCCTGCTGAGCTTGGAAATTGCTGTTCACTTGTTGAACTTAGGCTTCAGAATAACCTACCAGGAGGGAACCTTCCACCTGAAATTTGTAATGTTGAGAATCTTGAGGTTCTTTTCTTGTCCAAATTAGCTCAAGATTGGGAGATGGGGAGATTGAGCAACCTTAAAATATTAGCTCTGTATAGCAATAATTTGACCGGTAGAATCGCATCTGAAATCACAAATTTTACAAAACTCACCTATCTTTCATTAGCTCATATTAACCTTACTGGTGAGGTACCATCTGAGCTTGGGAATGTTCATCAGATTTACATAGACTCGACCAAACTGCAAACCGCCTTTGCGGACTAATTCCTCCTTGTGTATGCAATGGCACTAATCCGAGAGTTTTGATGCTTGGGGAATTCCGGTTTAATGGGAGCTTTCCGATTGGAATATGTTTGTTCCTTAGGAGGGTGATTCGTGGTGACAATCTTCTTTCAGGGAGTGTGCCGACTGATTTGGAGAGGAACTCTGGGATTTCTTACTTAGAAGTTAGAGGAAACTTGCTTGAAGGAAACATACCAGCAGTTTTTGGTCTTTGGAGCAATCTATCAATGATAGGTTTTTCAGGAAACAAACTCTCCAGCTCTGTAACTCCTGAGCTTGGAAAGCTTGCAAATCTTCAAGTCTTGAGACTTTCTTCTAATAGTCTAACAGGAAGCATTCTGTCTGACGTGAGTCATCGCAGAAAGTTAATTAAAATGGATTTGATTAAGAATCAGTTTTGAGGAAGAATTCCTCCTGGGATCACTTCATTGGAAAAAATAGAAAGCCTTCTCCTCCAAGAGAATGAACTTAGCGGAGTAATTCATGACTCTCCCCCCCCTATTCAAGGTCTCTTTGAAGTGCAGTTTGCTGTTAACATGCTTCAAGGTCCTATTCCTTGCGGTTTTGAGTAAGCTTGACTATTTTAGTTCAGTTCTAAATTTGACATAATAAGCTTTGATAAAATATTTTAGCTGAGGTTTGAATATATATTATTTTTTAATATATTTTTTAAGTAAAAATTTTTAGACTTGAAATTTATATAGGTTTACACTATTTTATACTATTAATTAGTTTTAATCAAAAACATCTCTCAAGTGAAAAAAATTTACACTTAATTTGAATTCATGAGTTTTTAATCAACAAAGTTACGATATTATATCAAATAATCATATTAAAAAATCAGTTTAACTTAAAAATTAAAGTTATTAAGTGAGGTGGTGGATATATGATTTATTTTGTTCTCTTACCATCTAGACAGATTACATGTTCTTCATCTCTCAAGCGACAGCTTCTCTGGTGAGATGCCACCAGCACTAAACACGATCTCCCTTTACTTTGTCAACATATATTTCAATCAATTCTCTGGCAAGCTCCCCTTCTTGGATGGGAATAGCAGCTTCATATCTAGAATCTTTTCTTGGAAATCCAGAACTTTGTTCGCTAGATAATGATGCAAGATACTGCAAGGATGTTAGAGAAGGCCATACAAGAGGGCTTGACCTGCATTTGCTGGTTGGTGTCGTTATAGGTGTGGTAATCTTTGTGGTATTTCTTAGTTCTGTGGTTTACATACTAGTGGTTTGAGTCCTTCAATGTGAGAATCACCATGATCAATCACTTCTTCATGTATGTCAATCGCGGACTGAAGATTAACTGTTTGAGGATATAATACCTGCTAGAGAAGGTTGGAGTGAGAAATATGTAATTGGGAGAAGCAAGCATGGGACAGATTTTGCAGGACATAGTCTGCAAACTCCAGAAAGCATTGGCCTGTCAAGAAGGTGAGTTTGTCTGAGGCTAACTTTAGCCTCGAAATGAGAACTTCGAGCCTGGACAAGCATCGAAATATCGTAAGAATGGGGGTTGCTGCATTAAAGATGGATATGGGTTCCTTGTAACCTACTTCATGCCTGGAGGAACATTATTTGATGTCCTGCACAGACATGAACCGTGCATGGTCTTGGACCGGGACACCCGATATCGCTTTACTTTAGGTATTGCACAAGGCCTTTCTTACCGTCAGCATGATCGTGTGCCGCAGATCATTCACAGGGATTTCGAATCAGATAATAATTTTATGGATTCTGAATTGGAACCCGAGGTTGGAGATTTCAGGATGTAAAGAATGCTTCTTGGTTCTGATTCAAGCTCGACAAGGTCTAGAATTGTATGAACTCTTGGCTACATGGCATCAGGCAAGTCACATTCTACCAAGCTAAACTGTTCTTTTGGTTTATTAATCATGACAAATTTATGCAGAAGCTCAAACACTAAATTCATTTCTTGTATTTCTCCTATTTCCCTATCCAAAATTTCAGAAAACGCATACTCTATCCGGTTGCCTTCCTTTCTTGTATTTCTCCTATTTCCCTATCCAAAATTTCAGAAAATGCAAGCTCTATCCGGTTGACAGAGAGTCGTTGCATGCAGTTATGGAGTCTTTCAATTAGAGCTTGTTTTCAGAAAATTGCCACCAGCTTTGAAGAAGGCCTGTATATCGTCTCCTGAACAGGGAAGACATATTACATAACTTTTCCAAACATCTTACATACTAGCACCAGACAAAAAAAAAATTGAATGCTCGTGCATTGCCATTCATCCAATACAAATTGCAATCTCGCATCTTCAAGAAAATTTTGTGAACTGATTTGAGTATTACCATGCAGATAGTTAGGAGTCATGATTATTCTTTAACAAGGGGGGGAAATCCGTAAAGAAACCAGCGGCAATATCAGAAAAACATGTCTGATGTCACAACATCAAAGTACAGCAGAATGCCTCAAGGCTCCTACTCTGCTGCTTGCAGAGGTTGTGAAGCTTCATTTTGTTTCAATTTTTCCAAAGCAGAAATCCGTCTATCCAGTGACTCATGAACGCTTTCCACCTGTATGAGAAATTAACCACATATGAGTAGCATATCCACGTTTCTCCTAACAAGAACACAGAAAGAACCTTTCATGTCCTGTCTTCAAATGCCAATCCTACCCTTGATAATAATGCTTCAAGTAAAGTCAACAGCAAACATGCAATTAGTCGAAATGAAAAGAAAATTTTTGGGTCGTGTTACTAACATTTCATGAAGTGTTAATGGCATTTCACCTTTAATGAGGGAGTCTCTTGTTCCATCAACACTTGATGGAGTGCTAGTAGCTCCGCTCAAAAAAAAGAAATTCATTGGAAAGGAAAAACCAAATTCCTGTTGGTTCTTGTACAATATATTCTGAAGGGCAGATGCTAACAGAATTACCGCTGCAACATTCTTCAGTCAGTTACACCCTTCCCATGTTGCAATGAGAGCTAAAACACTTTGATGAAACATTAAGGAGGCTATATTCGGAGAATGTTATCTGGATCAAGAAAGGTTAACTCAATCCATATGATAAATGAAAAGAAGAATTTGCAATGAGATCCAATTCATAGCCTCTAATACCAGTACCAGTCTTCTGAGTCATTATTCCCTCCTATATCACTTATCAACCCCCATGTCTACAATTTTATAGACAAAAAAACAAGTTACTTTCTGACTTTCAAATGCACGTTTTGCATGAAAAAAATGCATTTGTCATGACAAATTATGATTTGCTTTCAGTCTGAACAGGCAACATGGAATTCTCATCAAAGAATGCCAGTAACTGTTTAGTTAATGTCAATGGTAAATCATGCATTTAATCCAAATGAACAGAGAAAATCTTTTGGGTGGGGCTATTAACACTCCATTAATTGTTAATGTCACTACACCTTTACAGAGAAAAGTCTTGCACCATTAACATGTTGGGATGTCTTTATAAAGTGCTAATAGATGGGCCCAAGGTTTTCTTTCATTCAAGAACAACCTGAATGCCTCCATGTTCTGAACTTGGAAATGAAATAAAGAGCATCTTAGCAGGACTTATTTGGGAAAAAGATATTCCTACTGGTTCTTTTACAATATCTGCTGAACAAATGTTAACATAATTAGCATTCCAACATCCTTCAATTAGTAACACCCTTTTCCATTGCTAAGGGGAAAGTGCTCTAAGGATGTTATCTGGATCAAGAAAGCTTAATCCATATGTGGAAAGAAACAAGGATGTGCAATGTGAATTCCAATCAGTAGCCTCTAATAGCAGTACCAGATAACTAAATCATTCTCTACTATTTCTACAGTTTCTCTAAACAAAAGTACTTACTGATTTTCCGATGCATGTTTTGGACGAAAACTGCAATCGTCGTGACAATGTTATGATTTGGTTTCTGTCTAAACAGGCTACATAAAATTTTCATTAAATAATTCCAGTAAGTAAAGCATCCTATGAAAAAAGTCCATATAACTTTCTATACAAGGATATACTTGAAAATCCAGCAACAAACACATACAAACAAGGCTACACCGCAAAAAAGACCAACAACAAGAGCATGCAGCATCAAACAGTTACCATTAACAAATCAATCTTGAAAATCAACCTCTTCAATACAAGGATATACTTGTATAAAGTTCTCCATAACATCTCCCCAACTAGCTTCACTACTTTTATACCATTTTTATTGCCTCTTAGGATCCTCGAACTTCTTTAATACTATAAAAATGCTGATAAAAGAACAGTTGATGCAAATGAGCCACATTCTAATATCACTCTACTAAGTACACAATCAACATACATTATTCCAAAGCATACAAAAAATCAACGGCAAGAGCAAAAACAATAAAAAAGGGAACAAAATAATAAAAACCCACAATTATCATATTCCAATAATGAATAATTGAGCCTCAAGTTACTATCTTTTCTCTCAAATTCCATATACTATACGATTCCACTTCATGCATCAATCAAGAAAAAAATGAAAAGGGGACAATAAAAAATGAAAACCCATGATTAATATGTTGCAATAAGGACTAAATAAACCACAAGTTACTGCCTTTCATTACAATGCCAAATGGGTTACATATAGACTGCAAAATTAGGCTTAAAAAGCACAGATTTCTCTTCTTCTTTTTTCCTTTTTTGAGATTTTGATGATTACCTGTTGAGAGATGGCATCATGGGCAACCTGGAAATCTTTGTAAAGGAGATAGATTCCTGCAAATGATGCTGTTGCTGCTCCTGCAAAGAATGAAGCCAATCTCACTCTCAATACGTAACCCATTTTTTCTCCCTCTTTTTTTTTCCCTTTGTTTTTTTCTCTCTTCAATTCTAAAATGGTGTCAACTGTGAAGCCCTTTTCTTTGTCTTATAGGATATCTTCATTTTTGGTTTTTTAAAAAAAAAAAATTGTATTTGTATATATTATTTTTTTAAAAAAAAATTGTATTTGTATATATTATTTTTGAAGAAACCTCGATTTAGCTCTCATATGTTATACATTATCAATTCAGTCCTAAAACGTTTGATCTTTTAATTCTACCTCATCTGTGTTTAGACAATACCACCTCTTCATCCATCTAAGCGAAGCTTAGCCGGAAAAACAAAAACAAAAAAAATTGAGTGCAGGGTAAGATCTCCCTTTAAGGCTTATTATAACTTGTTTTAGAGCATTACATGAAAGCAATTGATGAGCATTTAAAGATTTTGGATAAACTTGATAGGGTTTAAAACATTAGGAGTTAATTAATAATAAAGCAATATGTTAGGACTAAATCCAAGCTTTTCTATTATTATTATTTGGTTTCTAAGGGTACATAAGCTTTAAACACAGTTTTAAAACTCTGATTGACATGGCAAGTTGTATTAGAACTCCATTGATATAGAATCTAAACTTAAACTGGCATGGGTAGAAGAAAACAAAAAATTTACCAACTTAGTTACTCAATTGACCTGTACTTAATTCGAATGGATCCTCACATCATTAAGGTTTTCTTCAAAAACAATATTAAAAAAATAAAATTTTAATTATTTTTAATAAAATAAAATTAATTTAGATAATATCTCAAACTTATAATTTGGATATCAAATTTAAATCAAGTTTTACAATTATAGCTTAAACATTTCATGACATTGATGGACAATTTGAAAGTCTAATTTGTTGAAGATATTTTTAATATGTATTTGTGGTTATGGTAGTTTTTTTATTGTGTTTTAAAAATATATAAAAAAATTATAAATTATATTTTTTAAATAAGATTTCAAATGAGAGTTTTAGTGTGACCCATGTAAAATTATAGTATGTATTGATTAACTAAATACTTTTAAATTTATTAATAAGGTAAAATATAAATTGTGTTATAGAACAAACGGAGAGCCCATTTGTTTTTATATTTTAAAAGTGTTTTTAAAAAATATTTAAAATATCTTATTTTTCTTTGTTTTAAATTAATTATTTTTTGATGTTTCAAACATTAATGTATTAATATTAAAAATAAATTTAAAAAAAATAAAAAATATATATTATTTCAATATATTTTAAAAAATAAACCATGTTATAGCTCCCCTTTAATCATTGAGAAAATAATATCAGAAGAAAATGAAGTCTCTCATAAAAAATTAATAGATGTTATGGTTGGAACCGTCAATTAAAATTATGTCCAAATAATCAATGAGCACAGATGGTATGTTATTTTACCAAAGCTTTTTGCTTATATGTCATTTCACTATTTATTTTAATTTTGTGTGTTAATTTTTCAATATATCCTCAAATAATCAATGAGCACAGATGGTTACATATGTTGAGGTAATTCATAGGATAATACCATGGTGATGGTTTTTCATTGTAATTGTGCACTTGTGACTTACATTGTGCCTAAAAAATAGTGAGAAAATGAAAATGAAATTTGATTAAAAGTTTAAGATGGTGATTGCTTATGTTCCATGCAGTACTTGGAAAAGAACAACGAGCTGATTATGGCTATCATGGAGAATCATAACAATGCCATTTTCTTGTTTTTTTTCTTTTATGGAACTAAAATGGTGTGATCTGCATAACTTCTAGCTCGGATATTTTTGCTGAGAGCTTGATGTTTCTGACTAATTCTGATATCCAAAATGTAAACCAGTTTTTTCCCCACATTTCATTTTTATTTTTTTATTTTTTGTGCTGGGCCTTTTTTGGGTACAGTGTTTTGAACATGGCGTTGGAAACAAAGACAGCATAACCAAATATATATGTCAACTGGAAGCTAATGTAGAGATTTCTCAAAATTAACAAAAAAAATCTCACCTCTGGCTCTACTTCTTATTGATGATTTGTTAAAAATATCAGTTTATTAAAACATCTATAACTGACATAAGCTCTCAGAAAGTGGCCATAGAGAATGAATGTGAGAGCAACAACAATGATCTTGCTGATGTTTCTCAAAGGTTTTCAATCAGGCTAATCCTGCAGCATGTTTGGCTGAAAATGAGGTGATTGGAATTATATTTTTGAGATCGTTAGAACAGTGTGTGAACGGGGAGCTATGAGCTATTATAGTTTTGCTTTCAGTTCTTGGTTCGTCAGCTTCATCTAGCTTTTGTTTGACATTTTCTATTCGTTTCCTTTTTCTTTAGCTATTGGAAACGGAACAGAGCATCACTGTTGAATCTCTCTTTTCGCTTACTAATATCTGTCAGATTAGTGTAATTTGAAAAGCCTCTAGCCATTCTTTCTCTTCCCTTGTTGAGAAAGAGCGGAAAATTATGCTAGCTCGCAACACTGTAGTTCCTCTACACAGGCACGTATATTCACATTTTTTCGTGTAAATTTGCCAATGATTCGGGTATCAAGCCCAGTTACAGCAGAACCTGATGTACCTAGCAAGAATTGCTGATGCACAACCACAAGGAACCACAATGCCTTCTCAAGTAATTTGCTGACTAATATCTGAACACTTTCTTTTTTACTTTGTTTTTCCTGGGTCAAAAAAACATTTGACTTAAGAGAAGCTGCCGTTGAATTGGAATGTCTCTTCTGTTTTAAAAAAGAATACTGTAGATGCCCCAGCAACAGCAGCAGCAGCCTGCAATAAAGCAAGAGCAGTACATGCAGCCATCTCAAGTTGCTATGCTTCAACAACCAATGTTCTTCAATCAGAAGCTCCCTTTCCAAATGAATGATCAGCAGGAGCAACAGCTGCCTCCACATCTCCAACAGCAACATTTCCTCCAAGGACAAATGAGACCGAGTGCCACTGATGGAGATTCTGATGCATGAAACCAGCTGGTGCTCACTGCCTTGAATGTTTATAGTTTAAGGACTTAATGGAGAACTAGTACAACTACACCCATCTAACTTCTTTTTCTTTTATGCAGGCTGTCTAGTTAATATCTCTTGTGAAGAGGAAATTCTGATCAATGATGTTTCAATAGTTGTTCATTGGAGGCTTAGCATACTGGGATATAATATTTAACGTGGTTCGGCAAATTATCTATATTTATAGGAGAGTTTTATATTATTAAAAATAAAAAAAAAATATAATATAAATACATGAAGGAAGAGGAACACATCCACTCTACTCAATTCTCATTTTTTATTGCTACACTTGCAGCTATTACCATTGCAGCTCTTCTTTCTTTTCTTTTTTTTTCTCTTTTCTCTCTCACACTCACTCCTATTGCTCTTCAAATAATGTTTTTATTTATAAACAATAATAGCAAGATATGATCCATATAAAACATGGCATCAATTATATCATAGTTTATGCTTTCACTTTATATCAAGTATGTGATGAATTGTTGAATTTTTACAAAGTGAAAGTAAAGTATCTGCCACAATAATGGTAATTTTCTAGCATTGTGAGCATGATTAAGTACCTTTATCTTTTACTTTCATGGATGCATGGAGATTTTCATGTAAATTTGCAGAGGTGAAACCCAAAATGCTTATTTTATTTTATTTTGCATTGAATGGAAAGCTTCCAGTTAAAGGCAGCTTCTTACAAGTTAGAACATGCAGGCATTGTTTGGTCCAAAATGGTGTCATCACAAATCAAGCAATGGCAGCAGTCATTGCCAATTCTTGTCATAGGCTGTGATTCAAAAGGTGCTAATACTACATAAAATAAGAATTTTTAAATCCCATTCAAACAATGTCAAGCTTCAGAGAAACAATCAGTATGATCATGGCCACTCTGGTGCATATTGTTTGATTGGAACTTGGATGATACCCATATAATTGCAGACTGAAAATTGGGTTTCCCTTCAAAGGTGAAGACAGAGGACTGTTTTAGTGTGGAGATGAACTTTGATCAACTATTTTTACTCTTAATGTGTTTTAAGATGGGGATGTGTAATTGTAGACTACTTCACATCAAGTGTCGATCTTTGATACCTTACATGAGACTTAGAATTTGTTTAGGATTATAATAGTAGTGGTGGTTCAAAATATTTTTTTATTTAAAAGTATATTAAAATAATTTTTTATTTTTAAAAAATCATTTTTAACATCCTCATATTAAAATGATCTGAAAATATAAAAAAATCAAAGTTTTTGAGATAATTTTTTTGAATTTGACTTCAATTAAATAATTTTTTTATATAAAACAAGAATGTAAGGATAAAAAATCTTAGCCGGAGTCACTAGTTTAATTAGTAATTTAGATAATATAAAGAGAAAATATAAAAATAAATAATTAAACTAATATATATATATATATATATATATATATTAGTCTTTTTGGATTATCATTGAAGAATGCTTCATTGAAGAATGTTGAACGAGAAGCTATGAAAAAACATTTTAAAAAAATATTTAATTAGATGAACTTGTAAATTTTATGATATGAGCATAAATTAAGATAATTTTATAAAAAATAAAAAAAATAATGAAATTAAAATAAATTAATTTTAAATTTTAAAAAAGCAAACATCAACAAACTTTTTAAACCTGATTTAATTTTTTAAAACTTGCAACCCGTGAAATCTTGAATTTGGATTCAATTAAAAAGTTTAATTTTAAATTAATTTAATTTTAAATAATAAAATTATGAAAAAAAATATTAATAAAAAATACTTGTAAAAACAAAAACATTTAGCAAAAAAATGAGGATAAAAATTGTTAAATAAAAACACAAAGAAGATGAAATTGTAAAAAAAAAAATTATTTCAAATAAAAAATAACAATAAAAAAATAAAAACTAAATTTGAAAGATTAAAAAAGTATTGAATGATTAAATTGAAAAATATTTGTAATTTGACAGATTATTTATATATTAAAAAATAATAAGAATGAAATTAAAAAGTACTTATAATTTGATATATTATTCAAAATTATAAAAAAATAACAATTAAAAAGTAAAGATTAAATGTGAAGAAAAATATATTGCAAGGGTTAATCTGATTTTATAAAGGGACCAACACTGAAGTCGAGGTAGGGAGAAGGAACAATTGTGAGTGGCAGAACCAAGGAGCATTCAGTTCCCATGTCACCTCCATGCGCTACCCAAACAATGTAAGGGCTGTCCGCATGCTCCAGCTAGTGTTTTTTAATAATATTTAACCAATGTATATTATAATAATGCTCTTGGATATCCTTTAAATTTAAACAAAATCAATGTAAAATGACAAAAAACCACTTGCTCAAGAATTATATTGATTTTATTTTTAATAGTATCAAATAATTACAGTATTTTGAGAAATAAATCAAAAAACCAAAACACCCCTAAATAATAGGCATTATATTATTATATTTCAGGATTAAATTAATAATATGTAAAAACAAAATGAAAATAACCAATCTAACCTATTAATTTATTAAAGATAATTGTGTCATGAGAGATTTTTTAAGCAGAGGAATTTTATCATCACGACATTATTGTAATAAATAGTACTAAATCTATGTAAACAGTAAATTTCCTAAAACAATAAGGTTTTTTTCAACGACCGAGAACAACAATTCGAGATACTCGGGTGAACTTGACAAGGAGATGAATGGACACTGAAGATTTAAACAATTCTGAACAATTTCACGCTATATATTTCTTAATTTTAAAGTTAGTATTCGAGAGAATTTATTGTCTTCAATATACCAAAAGATAAAATCAGATATACCAAAAAGATACAAGTATACATCCTTAAAATCATTTGTCAACAATATTAATATCAGATGACACAGACACCCTTTATATATATATATATATATATATATATATAAAGCACGACCCATGTAAAGCCTCGGTATCAAAAAGGAATAAAAATTACTATAATATATATTCAGAATTATAAGGGGGAAAATGGTCCACTCATAAAAAGTAGAAAATATATGTTTTTATAGGAAAATATATTTATTATAATTTTAAAATTAAATTAAATTAAATTATACCCTTTGAGTGTGATTGCCGCTTATTTTTGGATTGTGGGGGTACCAGACATACCCTTTGTGTGTGATTGCCACTTATTTTTGGATTGTGGGGGTACCAGACAGCCTCTACTGCAGATTCCAGCCGAAGAGCTTGGTCCCCAACGAGGAGTAGATAGTTGTCCTGAAGATTTCACCTCATTATCGATTACAATCAAGAGATCAAAGTAGCTCTCACACTATATGTAAAGTCACAAATTTCAAGCCAGTGATTTATCTCATTTTAACCATTTTAACAATGCATGAACAGCATTGACCATAACATTCAGCATCAAAAGTTTTTTTTTTTTTTGAAGCATTCATTTGCTGCTGAAATAATGCCTTCATTAAAAATCTTGGCAAGCAAAGAAATTAAAAAGGGAACAAAGAGGTGCAAGGATGACAAAGGAAGTAGGCTATCAAATGCACAGATGCAATTGTGTGCATGAATATCAATGCAGAAAGTTGAATGTGTAATCTTTGGTATCATAAACACACATAAAAGAGAAAGCAGTTTTTCCAAAAGCATAAGATTAAAAAGGATTTTTAAAAAAAAATCAGCCAAGTCCATGGTGGATTCTATAAGAAGCAAAAGATGGCAGGCAGTTACAACAAGAGCACCATTCTACTGCAGATCACTCCCATATATGCCCGATCTGCACACCAATTAACTCCATAAGTTCATTTATACATTGATCACTGCCTCCTGCAATAACAAATTAAAATTGATTACTTATCAATGGCAAATCACACAAATCAAAGACAAGAAACCATGGTCAAATAAACCAAGAACTGGCATAAAATGCAAATGCTCCTCTAAAATAATCGTTATTATTACCATACTAACTTCTAGAAGTTAATGCAGCCCCGGTTGTCCTGAAAACATTCAGTCAAATAAAACTCAATGAGCCCTTAACCCGTGGTACAGATTAACACATTATCCAACATATATAACAAAGTCTGCAATATTTAGCAGGATTTAAACCATACCTGCTCTGCTGTTTTCCATTATAAATTGAGTTAGATGTCCCATGAATTGAGCCCTTGCTTTGAGTACTGCTGACGCCTGATCTGTCAAAATCTTGCCTATTCAGCTCGTGAGAATCTTTTGATATGCTCAGAATCTTAACATTGGAGATGCCTTTAGCAACCCCAAAATTAACACCATTTGAAGATTTGGATTCAATTGACGGAGCCTTCTTAAGTCGATGGGATTGTGCCATGGGGGTAACTGCCACAGAAGGCAAAAATGACGAGTAAGGAGATGCTGCTGCTGCAGCAGCAGCAGCAACTTTAGCAACAGCTGCTGTAGCAGCTATCATTTCTTGAGCTCCTTCCCGAAGCTGGATATAGTCACCCTCAATCAAAAACAACTGAAATCACAACTTAAAGGCTCAGATATAGTGATACAGTCTATGCATGCAAATATGTAAATTAGGATCCCAAAAACTCACTTCTGGGTGACCACCCACAAAGTCATCTAGCTTTCCATATTTTCTCTTGTAATCATGCCAATGCAAAGGAGAAAGCATCTTGCCAAGTCTATTTGGTAGCTGTTATTGACACAATGATAATTATCATTGCTTCTGAATGGTTTCAAAATGTGCTAAGATGAGAAGAAAAGAATTTTTTACACTACTGACCGTTGAATTGATCCGAATTCTACCACCAGCTGGAACAGTACGAACAATGCAAGCCAAGAGAGATCGTTCATCAAGGAGAGGAGTATCTGAAGTTTTTCCTCCAGTGACCACATTTGTTTGGTCAGATGAGATAAATGCTTTAGATGATACAGCACCAGTGCCATTGTTGATTGTGGTTTCACTGACATTAACTGAATGCACAGATGTTTCAGAGAGTGATGCACTGGCAGCAGAACTCGCCTGCTCTTCTGTCAAAGCTTGGTCCTCTAGCCCCTGGTTATTGAAGTTCAAAACATTTTGATCCTACACCAGTTCAAATTTAACTGATTTTAGTCCCTGCCCTAATTGCCAGCT